TTGTGTACCCGACACGTTACGAGGGCTTAATTTTCGCACGTGGTACGCGTTGCCCATTGACCCAATAAAGCCGAACTTAAACTTTAATGGCTGCCATCGTAAACCGCGGTCGTTTCAATGTGCATAAACTGCTACATACCAGTCGCGGTTTAGCGTGGCAGTTGATACAGATGAAATGCAAGATCGACAGGAATCCAATTGTTGTCCTCGTTTCATCATCCGGATAATCATAATGGATTTCGACAACCTACACAAGACTACTACGAGAAACAATACCAGCTTTCGAGCTGTCAATTTTAAGATTTAATTGTAGCATTGTAGTGCTTCTGATGATTGAATTAAGGACAAGAGAATTATCTAAAGAGGAAAATCTAAAAATCGGAGTCAAAATAATTAAGTACTAAGTCAAAACAATTAAATACCGATCTTCTAAAATACATATAATTCATTATTATACCTACAATTATCTCGCTCAGAGGTAGTTTATTTGAAGAGCAACGTGAATTTGCCTCCCGATTCTAGGCACCATTGTACATACGTAAAACCGACTCTGCAGAGAGCTGTTCGGCACAGATGGCACTATGACGCAACCGACGAATTTTTATATGTTCTCGGTGCTATTCTGCAGCTTGTATTCACACTACACACGGTTCCCGCCATTTCATCGTTCTACAAATATATACAACGAACATTATCGCGTTGCAACGAGAGCCATTCGGCGGTTTGTCGCCTCAATAACGATGCAGTTATATCGATGATGGTTATTTAATGATTTGCAATCGGCCGACACCGGCGAATCATGCTTTTTTTTTCTCCCTCGTCGTTATACCTCGCATTCCTGTTTTCGCGGCTTTTTGCGTTTCTTTTAATCGATGTCGGTTTTCTTTTAAAGCTAATTAATATTGTTATCTATATTGTGTCATTTATTTTGATTCACGTAAAAAAGCAATCTCGATAAACAGAAACGGCATACCAAATAACAGTGCATACGTTACATTAACCCTTATCATCTACAATTTGGTGCCTCATCCATACCATCAAGGGTCACTTCAAATGTCTTCGTTTTTTCACCTCTCCAAAATAATTTTAAAAATCTCTAAAAATTCACCAACATACTTTCAACTTTCTAGAATAAATATTGACTCTTTATTTTGGAAAATAATAAAATGTGTAGTATAATTTATAATTACCGAAAGACTCAAAGAAACTTGCACGAACAGGAATCGCTCGGTCACTAATTACCCATATTAGTACGGTAAGGGTTAAATTTGTAAAATTACTTTCACGAATATAAAATTATATTTAAAGGATTTACCATCAAATTATTTCAAATTTGTCTTGGAAATTTATTCAACTAGAAATTATACACGTAATTCCGGAGATTTACTGAAATTCATCTCATCAGTCGTTATTAAATCGCATGTAAGAACAATATGGATTCTACATACACAACAAATTTTAGTCGTTTAATAATGTCACCATATATTCGTGTGTTCTACCTTTTCTACGTACACGCGTTCACAAAATCCTCTCCCGCGGGTCGTATACAGGTTTGCTTAACGGCCCGTATAAAGTTTACGGGCGTTCCGGCTGAAACAGCGGGAGAAATTTCTTTCGAAGAGATTCATTCTACTGTAAAGTGAGGTCACCTTAAAGGTTCGCGCGATTTGCGCCGTTGAACAGTCAATTACTTACTATTACTGTCAAATTTAATCAGCTGATATCGCTAGTGAGAAAGAATATAAATAAAGAAATAGAAGATACAAAAGGGCGTTATAAAAATTCGAAAGAGAACGCTCAAAAATCGCACAAGCAGTATGAAGAATGAGGGACACTTGCGATCAAAAGCCTCGGAGATATTGATTACGTTTATACGGACGCTCTTAGGCCTAGTTTCACAACTCATGGTTAACTCTTAATCGAGGTTTAACTTATTCCTCATCTCTCTTTCTAATGCTAGAATTGGAAAGAGATGAGAAATAAGTTGAACCTCGGTTAAGAGTTAACCGTGAACTGAGCTTTAGGCCGATTCTGTAACTCTTAACGACAGTCGTTGATGTCGTTGCGCAGATATTATGTAGAATAAAAAAGCCGCGCAATGACATCAACGATTGTCGTTAAGAGTTAAGGGTCCTCTACATAGAAGTCGTAGACAGCCTTAAGTGGAGCCTTAAGTTGGAGTCTTAAGTCGTAGGAAACTGACCAATTCCAATCGAGTATTCTCCTTATACTTGATTGTGATTGGTTGGTTTCCTACGACTTAAGACTCCACGACCGTCTACGACTTCTATGTAGAGGACCCTTTACAGAATCGGCCCCTTAATTGGGTTTAGTAATATTCGTAGTTAGAAACTGGCCCATCACAGTCATTCCATTTTTCAGAGAAATAACTATGATTGGCCAGTTTCATAACAACGGATGTTATTAAACTTGGTTAAAGGTGTCTGTGTAAACGTAGTCATTACCTGAAAAAAAAAGAGTATACAGCGGGATTGTGGTAAAAGGATTTTATAGCAGTATCCTACGGTGTCCATTCTAGAATAAAAGATGAACTAGTAGTTTGCGGGCGCGCTTTAAAGTTCTCATCAAGCGATCGAGGTCTGTGGGACACTTCTGTGTCTCATTGTTCCCTTTGTTTGGTGTTTACGCTGTTGCACCGGGACTACAGTGCGGCGTGCCCGGCGGCGTCGGCTACGTCGGCGACTACGAC